CTTGCGAGCCCTCTGGCAATGTGAGTGTCTATGGGCATATCATTTAACATTAGGTGACCCTTTTGCCCGTTTTCTGATTTATAAAAATAAAAAGTAGCATGCTTGTTAATAATATGTCTTCACTTGTCTGTATGTGTATTTCTAATTAAACAATGACAATAAACACGTTTCTTTACGTGTTTACAAGCATGGCACGTCACAGCGTTCGACGCCATCTTGCCTAGACAGCCTATGGGTTCTTCAAATTATGAATGTTTAATTTGAGTTTTTCTAACAATTTGAATTTCTATAGTAACTAATTACCTACTGATTTTTTTTTAAATCTTGTCTTAGAAGTTAATTGTTTTGAAAATAAAGCTTCTGATAAAGTCGGACTAAACTGTGGAATTTATTACCATGGTAACCATTATTTTAAAATCCTGTCAAATAGCCTAGGGAGCGTTTAAGTATTACGTCACGCAATTTTTGGAGATTATTGACCAAACCCCCCCAAGGTGTAACGCGCCGTAACGTTTTTCTGTACCCAAGAAAAACGTCTGACCACCTAGTCACTCTTTATTCCTAAAAGTTACCATAATGTGCTGTAAAGTACTGGAAAGTCGAACATATTATTAACAATAACGCGTAATTCAATCCCCGCCCCGCATCCTAACGTTTTCAAAAGGACCAAAAATTCGTTAAGTAATACTTGAACGCTCCCCAATTAGGTGCCTAGAATAAATTCCGAATTTACGATTGGTGTAAAAAAAATAAGTTTAAATTATAGTCAAGGCCGTCCTCTCTGTTGCTTGATTAGTTAATTTATTTAAATACAATTAAGTCGTAATTATCAGCCCATATAATGCTGAAATGTTTATGTTCCTATACATAATACAAATGTGAAGATTTCGGCAGATTTCTGCTTGTGTGATTTGTTTGATCCTGACTCATTGACGCCTAGGGCATTGTATACTAAGCTATTGAATTTCACGTATGTTGACACATTTGTCTCTTTGGTCAATGATTTATAAGAGAATCCATCTGTGCTGCACTTCTTGGTGCATCTCCTTTACTGAAGGTTGGCCGTCAGTCTCGTGAAGCGTGTCCTGTGCCAGATGCAGCAACTCTTCCACAGTTGCAATACTTGTCTCCCTAACGTTAAGAAGTCATGATTCCTTCCTTCTACCAACGTGGCGTTGCGCACGCGCAAGGTACGCCCAGTTTGTTTCATGTTCTGCATTTTTTTTCCTGTGTAAGTGCCTGCACACTTACATTTTATTAATTTTTGATACATACGAGCACTAATTATTAAATTTTTGCAAACTCCTGGTTTAGCAGGTGTTCATGTGCGGGAGTAAACACTTAAAGTGTCTACTCAGTCCGATAAAAAAACACATTCAGCTGAACTTGAAGTACAACACACACATAAGTCTTATTAATATAAAGAAAGTACATATATGCGCTATGTATGACGTTATTTAAGGATTGGTCGACACAGACCGATCACAGATGTGATAAACAAAATGATGCAGAAATTTGTCAGTCCGGCATGCAATTTTCGTAAGGTTTCGCTATAAACATTAATAAAAAAAAATCAGTTCCAATAAACGTATTTTAGATCCGTCAACTTGAAAATGTATTATAAAATAAAAACGTAAATTTAAAATTTATATGAATAATTTCAGATTTTCAAACATAGTTGCTGGATTACTTTGTCAAATTCATGATTGACCTATAGTTGTCTCTTTTCCTCACAGAGTGAATACAATATGATAGAATGAGACAACTCTATAAGGTTTTTATAGTGTTTATCCTAAGGGTCCTTTTTAAATTTGTTTGTGTATATTTAGAAATAATTTGTGTTTTATTTATTTTATTACTGTGGGAATATTAGCCATTTACAATATATGAAATGTATGTAAGTAGGTTTTTAAAGATGTAAATTTCCCTAGTCGAATAGTTTAATTGGTGCGAGATTTAATATATTGGTTGTACATTTGAAGTTTTGTATGTTTAAGTAATAAGGGTTTACATTTATTCACGGAATTCGATGACATTTCTTAAATATAATTGGCCTGGTAATTTAGTACAAAAATCTTTTTGGTATAACCCCAGAAGTATTTTTACGTTTAGTCGATTTAATTAAAATATGGTGCAAAATTCCTTTATTCCTCCTGTTTTTTCCTTATAGTTGGAACTTGGAAGAGTTTAGTCCTTTTAGTTTGGTTAATTGAAAACAGCGCGTTTGTATTTTTGAAAATAAGTATTTATTAAATTGAATTATTGTAAATACAAATATACATACGTTTATAGTTCTGTGTTTTATTTACAGTAGTTATTTAGCGGTTTCTATAAAAAATATATTGCAGTGCCATCTAGTGAACTTTTTCCGTACTAATGTTATGGTTTACTTAAGAATTTCTTTTTAAGCTTAGCGCCATCTATTGCAGATAAACAACAAATAATGTTAAGGCGTACGACCAATAGATGTCGGTATTAGTGTCAAGAGTGAATACATAAAGAATTATTTTTAACGATTATATTTTATTCACGATACATTAAATTAATTTCTAATAATGCGTAATACAGTTTTAATTAACCTTAAAGGGGTCTGTCTTATTTCGAACATGTTCAGTCAATACGAGTTTTCTAGATTTGATTTTCGTGCCAATTTAAATTTTTCTTTGCCTAAAATTAACTCTGTAATTTGTACTTGGCACCTGCATTAGAACTCTAAGAGAATTTCTTGTTTTTGACATATTTTCGTTTTCAATAAATAGGACGAGGAATGTATTATTCTTCACCGCAAATAAATAAAAAGCAAGTTGCAAGTTTTCAACAATTTGTATTTTTTGCACCTTAGGTGATTTTTATATTAAATAAAAATTTATTTTTCCTCTTATATACACATTAAATCAAAACGTAGTCAGTGTATTTACAAATATATTAAATAGAATTTAGTAAAAATTAGAGAAATTTAACAATACCTAAAATTATACTTATCACTATCTATAATAGAACATCAACAACATTTTTCACTCTGGCGAACGCACAAGATAAGACTAATGTGTAATAACAGTATAGGAAATTCGTACAAATTCACAAAAGTGTGAACACCGTAAAGCATTAAAATATCGCCAAAGGCTAGAGAGACGACACGTATATTCACCTTACGAAAATTTCTCCCGAATTTTTCGTAGAATGAAAGCAGCTCCTCCATTCCGCAGCACCGCAAGACTCTATTTAACAATGCTAAATTCTGTCACCTTAACTCCACAGACAGTGGTTCATATATCTGTAAAAAGTAGATTGCAAGACCCAATTCAACCCGTACATCGATAACTTTAACGCGATGTAACAATACATACAATGTTAGAATTTAGTCTTTTCCGTTTCAATAGTCACACATTTAATTTGTTTACATGTTTAAAAATACCTACCTACGCTAGCCTTGTCTAAGAGACTTCGTCTCATCTACAATAGTAAAAACAGTATAAACTTTAGAGCCACACTCAACAAAAGCTAACAAGAGGTGAATCGCGAACTGTTTGCGGTAGCCTTAACTTTCCAAATGATGAAAAAACAGCTTGTTCTATTGTTCTATTAGCGTTGGCATAGTTAGTAATATTATTGTCAGTTGTTTTTAATTCAAAACGCCCAAACTCGAGTCTAAAAGGCCCACCCTGTTCTTCAGAATGACGATTTTTAAATGTATGTGATGCATATGTATAATTTAGAACACTCTTAAACAACCATTAAGAAAAGGCAATTATTTGTGCTCGTTCAACACTTATGTAGAGTCTAAGTTTGTGTCGTAAGTTCCACGTGCAAACACGTAACAGCTATGATCCAGTGTAAACTTCAACACCAAATATTTTATGTATAGCTACGTATTAAAATCTTATGAGTATTATAAATAGGGGCCTTTTAATGTAAATAATTAATATTGATTAAGAGATCATAATTTAAATCCTACTCTATTAACTTTGCTAGATTAGTCTAATTATTTTAATAATACATGCCACTGGGAATAAGACGGTAAGTTGAAACATACGAAATGACAGAGTATTGAGCAAATTTAGTTAAATTAAATCTTGAGCAAAGAAAGATTGACAGATTGTCGAAAACAAATCTATTCGAAAAAGTTAAGTCGAAGTGTCGGAAAGTCTACAGATCCGCAGTTAGGATACAGGTTACTCTCACACCCATAACTACGACTAGAAAATCGAGACGAACTTTATATAAAATTATCACTTAACAACAGTCATGTTACACTTAGTACTAAAAATCAGCCGTGGCACGCAGTAAAGTTAGTGAATGGCACTGTTTCACGTTAGTTTCAAGTACAAGAACATTATAAAATCACTTATATCTAAACATATAACGCACGAAAAGGTAGTGTTACAAAATGTTTGACCGGAAAACAGTACAACATCAATATGTGCTAGTTAAATGATCCGAACGGAGCGGCAAACACTCGACCACCGTACACTACCGTAAAGTCATCACCAATCACTGGTCACGCTTCGATGCGCGAGACGAACTCAGTTATGTATATCTTATCTACTGAAGCTAAAACAAGAGAAGTATATGTGTTCGCACTGCACCGCAGTCTCCTCCCGGTGCGCACACGTCACATTAGGCCATTTCTTTCAATTTGTTCCCAGTCTATTTCATTCAATTATCCTATCTAATCCAAATAAATACATCGAGTTGATCATTACCTATCGCAGTAATTACAAATATGTATAAAAAGACATATATAAAATTCAATGAATTTACAAATGTTAATAAAGCTTCGTTAAAGACGATTTTACACCTAGGCGATGAAATTATTTGATAACTTCAACGTGAAAAATATTAATAGTTCAATTTTGTGGCGAGGGGGGCTCGGGCATATCACCTGCGCCGTAGGGCGAAGGCGCGGCGCTCGCGGGCGCCGTCGTCGCCACGGTCACTGTCGCCGTGGTCACGGTCGCTGTGGTCACAGTCGCAGTCGCCGGAGTGGCGACGGCGCGGGGCTAGAGCGGCGCGTGAGAGTGGTCATGGGGTCCGCCGCGCTCGCGCTTCAACCGCTGCTTGAGGTGCACCTTTGCGTGCCGCTTTTTCTCGTCTGAACGTGCGAACTTGCGGCCGCACACATCACATGCGAACGGTTTCTCGCCCGTGTGCGTGCGGACGTGGGTCGTGAGGTGGTCCGACCGGCTGAATGATCTCATGCAGATGCGGCACTGGAAGGGCTTCTGACCCGTGTGTATCCGAATGTGCCGCGTCAGCTCATCCGAGCGGGAGAAGCGGCGGTCGCAGCCCTCGACGGGGCAGGCGTAAGGCCGTTCGTGGACCGGGGTCTTGCTCGGCCTGTTGGGGTACTTGCGCGGTTTAACGGGCATCAGGCGCAGCGGCTGCGCGCTCTGCTGGTACACCTGGGAGAGGATCTCGTGACCCTTGCTCGTGGAAGGATTGTACTCGGCGAGTTGGACTGGCCTGTCGGAAACGGGACTCGGATAAGGCTCGCGTTTCGGAAGTCCAGATGGCCCCGGCGTAGGCTGCGGCACGCTAGCGTACTCTTGTGTTTCCCAGGTGTGCTGCTGCTGTGGTTGCGGCTGTGGTGGTGGCCGATACTCGCAATGCTGTGGAGGGCACGGTTGTGGCGGGCAATAGGCCTGCGGTTGGCATTCAGGTGGAAGGAGCTCGACGCGCTCCTCGTACTCCTGCTGGAAGTACTTGTCGACACTGCCGGGCCCCGGGCCAGACGGCAGCAGCCACTGTAGTGGCGGCGAGGGTGCGCGTTTAGCACCCATGGGGGGCCCATATAATGAGGCACTAGCACTGGACGCATTACTGGCGTCTTCTGCGCGTGCGCCAGGAGATAGAGACGACTCATGCTTGTGTCGTCGTGGTGAACATCCTAGTGATAACTCATCGCCTGGTAATGTACCTGCAACAACAGATACACTTCATTAGATAAAACTCTTAATATACTTTATTATTTTATACTTTTAGTTGGTAATTGATATTTATGCCAGCAAAAAAGAAGAGTTTTTTTACAGTACTTTCAGGTACAAAACTAAATTTGATTGAAACAAAAACTGAATTGGCATAAATATTTACGAAGTATTCAATTTGACAAAAATCCAGATAATATTTTATCACAACGATATTGTGAACCTTAATTCTCATTGAAACTACCTAATGTGAAAAAAAATTAGTATGTACCTAAATCTTAAAATTATCTAAAAATAAAAGAAAATATTTAGACTTATTTAAAAAAAAGATAATATAGAAAAATATGGATGTATTAAAAAAAATAAAAACATGTTGACGAAGAACTGAAGTATCTAGTCATGAAATAGATTTTTCATACAGATTTTATTTTGTTCTACGAAATTTTTAATATATTGTAAAACTATTATTACAAATGATTTTTCAATACTTATTTACAAATCTTTGAATAGTGAATAAAATATAGCAAATACATCTTATAGTAATTCCTTTTAATAAAGATATGCTGTTTTTTGTTATAAAATGATATGTACACAGTAGATTTTGTTAATCTGTAAAAATATATTTGGATATCATTTAAAAATATGCTTATTCGGGTTAAAGTCATTTCAAAACATATTTTTTATTTTATTTTATTTATTTAGATGATTTAAAATAAATCTTGTTTTTTTTTAATTTTACATGCCGCTGAATGTATTTCAATTATCAGAAAAAAATAACTTTGATAAACAATTATATAGTACTATTATTTGCTACGTTTCGAGTCAAATTTTTATTAATAATTAAATAAATTTAATTATTTCACGTACGAAATTAACATTTAAGCTCTTGCGTGCTCATTATGAAACTGACAAAGTCGCGTAACGGAAGGCAAGCTCTCAGATAAAGACGGAAATTGATATCGTTTATCACAATTTTTTGTAACTAGCCATTGTTATTATTACCTACCTTATAATCAAAAAAACCTTTTATCCAATTAAAAAATATTATCATCTGGCAATACCATAATAAAAATCCCGGAAAGATTAATATTTTTAAGTGCGTCGATATTTAATGCTTAAAACGTTATGAAGAAGTTATAATAATTCGTATCGTTATCTGCAATAAAATGTCAATATTATCTGTAATTCGAACCTTTACGAAAGATTTTGACAGAATGAAATAAAACAAGCGCTTTATCGCTTACGAAATTGAAAGCTTTATTATTATTATGTGCTTAAAGTAATTGTGTAATTTGAGTTAGCGAATGTTTAAATTAGTAACGTTTATTTCTCATTTGGAATCCAAAAAGCAATCCTAATAGAATTAAATAATCCGTCGGTCAGAGACGCGACGTTACCGTATCGAATATTCCTGCAAACAAACTGATCCAACTTTCCATTTCACACACAACACAATTAACACTGCACTAAACGGCGTTGTTTATTTACAACGTTATCGGGATATTCCGCCTACGACCCGTACACACCTGATATAAGCGGGGGCTCGAGCAGACTCGGGAAGAACGCGGGCAAGTCAGACGTCGCCACGGGAGTGTTGAGATCGCCTTGCGAGCCCGACGTTGAAGTGGACACGGGCTTAAGGGCGCAGTCGAAGCCTAGGGCTCCTACGTCCGCGAGGGACAGGAGATGAGCGCCGGCTGGAGGCTCGCAGTCGGTGCCCATCCCGTCCGGGACCACCTGCTCCTCGGCCCAAGGGCCCAATGGGATTACGAACAGCGCCAGCGTGAATACGTCGTTTCACGCGGCCTCTGCGAAAGGGACTGGCGCCGCGCGACCCCGCACCGCGGTTTTATCAATGGACCACCGGTCCTCTCGTGCCAAATCAGCGCTCGCTACGCCGAATACAGCGGTAATTCGATAAAAAGCGCTGTATAAAGCTGTATCAAGCGCCTTTTTGGGCGCAAAAAAGTTAATTTTGGTATTTTGTTGCAAATATATTGCATTAAATAATTAAAAACAAAAAACGTAAAAATAAAATATGTACTGTTATAGCATGAAGTTTGGTATAAGTTAAAAATTATTGTTATTAACGATTCCACTTTCTGAACTTTAAAAAATATTTCTATTCAAATATTCAGCGCTACGTCGCTTTAATAGTGAAAGATGGAGCGCGTTAAGCACTGAAAGCGTTGCTCGGAGTGCACCGGTCCCATATTCGGTAGCGGCGCGCGCAGCCTAGCCAATGGCAAGGCGGCGGTCTGACGTCACCACCCGTCCCGCCCATCCTCGCCCGACTCCCACCGCCCAGTGAAGCCTTCTATGAATCGCGTGCCTCCGTTGCCCGACATTGACAATGAATGCTGCACGTTTAGTTCAATAACGTCCGTCTGTTTATTTACACGTTTGAAAATCCACCGTTTTATTCTCAGTTTAAACGATTGAAGATAACTGATAATAATATTTAAATTACACTAAACACACACAATACACTAAAATATAATTAGTTTAATTAATATAAAACTCATAGTAAACAAGAACAGAGTGTCTTCCCCTTAATAGAGAGTGTAAGAAGTGTTATTGGACACTTATTTAAAAAAAAATCTTTTTCGTTAGTTTTAAATTACTTATTAGTCTAAATTAGGCTAGATCGTAATGTTAAATTGTCTCTTTGTGCAGAGACAATTTATAAAAAATAATAATAATAAAAAAACGGCACGTTGTCAATAATAAGCATACGTAACTTTTAATACACATACTCATAGACATAAAATTTATTACTAACAAAACACACACACACAAAATAACAACAATAAAAATATATAAAAAAGAATGAAAGATAACATTATTTTTTTTCTTTTAAAGAACAAGGTACGTTTTAATTGTGTTGTGTGCTGTGGTTGTAATTGGCCCTGGCTCAGCATTATGCTGAGGAGCAGACTGTTCTACAGCGCTGTTCATTCTACCAGAGACCACAGCAGCTAATTTGCGCTACAGTCAATTATGTTTTCATTAAATCTAATCAAATATTAATTTTATAATGCCATAAAATTCTGGTCCCTTATTGAGAACAATATCAAAGTTTCCTAGGCCGCAAGTTTCTAACTCTCTTGAATTATTTGACTAGACGGACGTCTAGTCTGTATAGTCATATGTAGTTACTTTTTATTTAACCCCTATTGAATTTTTGTTTAAAATTCTCTATATTAAGGCGTTTTTTTTTGATAAGGAAATTCGAAGACGTAATTTCAATGCACTTGGATGTTTACTAGGAATTTTATAATAAACCAAATAAGGTTATTACTATAGGAGCGTTAGAGTCTGGCTAATGAAAGAAGATAATTGAATTATTTGAAAACTTTCGGATGGCAACACAGAATGTCATTGATTTTCTTAGGTTAGTATGATTTATTGTTTTGATACTTCATGCAATTACTCATTTTTATTTCTATTATATATTTTTTCCGAATAGTTAACAGGTATAATAGCCTAAACTTTGTTGTATTAATTTTTTGGATTCTGATTTTGATTATTCCGAATAAAGTTGTGTTTTATAGTAAATATGTATAGTTTTAGTTTTCCATGCAATGCCATTTTAAGTATCAATAGTAAAATACTAAATACGTATAGTATTTAATTGCATAGAAATACAGTTACTATCAATGTAAAAAATAATAAAATAAAATCAAGTACCTATCAAGTAAGTTTAACCAGACTCTAATATTTACACTAAGAATTCACACTCACACAAAATACTAGAATATTTCTGTTTTCCAATTTACATGCATGAAATTTTACAAAACTAATACGGAGGGATATTGTAAAAGTATAAATTTACAATTAATCAAAGTAAAAAATATATTATAATTATTAATATAGTGGTCTATTAGTGCTGGAATTATGTCTACAAATGCCACAGAAAAGACGCCAAACCATTAATAAGTGTTTTATTACACAGATTACTATGTAAATATTTATATAGATTTAACTATATTTTAAAAATACCTTAGTCTATGTCTCTACGTGTCTATGTTAAATATAATAAATCTGAAAAGGTACTTTCAAGTTTAGAAAGTAAACTGTATATCTAGGAAGTACTTCTGAAGGTATTTTTATCTTTCATTCTCGCGCTGACCACGATTGCCATAGAGTATTAAAACAGCGAGTTATATAATAAATTGAAGTATATATCTGTTTAAGTTAAAATAATTTTATAAATACCTACGAGAGATGTTTTATGCAAAACTTTAAAATTTTATTATTAAACAACAAAAACAAACAAAAAAAATTATAAATTATAAAACGGAGTTAAGGTTAGTACCGTGGTTTTCACTATGTTTACTAAAGATTATTTTCATATAATCTGGTAACCATGGTAACGGGTACGGTGCGCGAAAAAGCTTCCACAAGCTTTCTTTAATTTCGTATTACTTGTCATTTCCATTAAATGATTCCAATAAGAAACTAGTTAGATTTCAAATATCTAATTTCTACTAAATTTGTATAATTTATTTTATTACAATTAATGTTGCCATGACGGTAATTTGTATATTCACATGTACACTTTAAGTGGTACCTACATTTTATGTTTGATGGGAATCTATTTCTCTGATTCTACGCAGTCATAGGATTTACAACCTTTAAGGTCAGGGCCTCAGATTTCTGTATCTAGTTCGTGATCATTTGTTTTTTTAATGGGCAAGTGGGTGATCAACCTTATGTCATCAATCAGACACGCCGGTGACTTTTTGGGTTTAAGGCATGTCGGATTCCTTTCGATGCTTTCCTTCACCGTTCTAGCGAGTGCCGAGAGCACGTAGACAGAAAGTCCATTGGTGCACAGGCGGCGTTCGACCTACAACCTCAGGGATGAGAACCATTATTCCAACACTTGATATAGTTTTCTTATTTATTTATTGCCTATAGTGGCAATTACGTAATTTGATGCCTAATTAGTTAACGCCAAATTTAAGTTCGGATAGAGAAGTATTAAAAAAAGGTTTAAGAACTGCAACCTTTCTTTTTTGACGTTCATAAGTGTACATTGTGTTACCTACATGGATAAATGATTTTTGACTTTTTTTTTTACTCTTAAACAGCTGAGGTAAGCGTTAACTTTTAAAAAATGTCCCAGAGTACAGCCTTGACTCGTATAGATTTCTTGCGGTAAACAAGTTGAAATTGACTTAATGAAAACTGCCAATAAAAAAGCGTTTAGCATGCAAATAACTCATTATATGGAAGTGTGACTGACGCCTACGAACAATCACGGCTTAGGATCACCATATAAGGGAGTTAGGCTGGCTTCATAGGCCGTATATACACGACTAACTACGGTATAAATTCATCAATCATAATTTGGATTAGTACGCCATACATTAGACGACATAGTTTAAGTTTTTTTTGAGAAATGGATGGAGGAAGCAAAGAACAGATCCAAATTGAAAGTTCAGGAGGAGGCCTTTACCCAAAAGGGGTCCATACTCAGACACGAAGTAATGGAAATAACAAAATCTAACGAAGACTAAGTATAAGAAAAAAACTTACCCATTTGATTTGTAATTTTTATAGTATGGAATTAAAGTAGCTTTATTAGTCCATTAGAAAAACTATTAGATTTATCTTATTAACAGTTTTATATATTTATGTATTCATGTTAAAATATATTATATATAGCATATATAGCATGCCAGGACTACGTCGCTGTGGCTAGATAGGAATCCTCGGAGCAGTGAGGTCGCTCCGTGAAGTCTGCGACCCAAGAGACTTGTGTGCTTCTGGAAGGAGCTAGGCTGGCTTAGTTAGCCAGGATTTTATGCACAACAGACCTAATGAGTCCAACCAATTGAGTCCAACCAACATATTTCTAGTAAAACAAGATTGAAAATCTCAGTTAAACTAAATGTTAGGTTAACAAATACGTAGACATTCCTATCTGATGGAATAAGATGTCTGAATTCGTTATTTATTGAAAATAAGAATCATAGGTAAAATATATCTTTAGACTAGAAGATTCACTTGTAAGCGACCACGAAATTCTGATGTCCGATTCTCTCGCTGAGACTATCACATCAAGTTTTTATACAACAATTCGATATTAAGATTCATTACGTTATATGAGCAATGAATTTTACTTAAGCTATCAAAACAGATCCCATGTATGTCTATGGCCTTAACAGTGGGTCTATTACTAATTGGTTGGCTCTGTCAATATGTGTTCGATGCATAATTATTATCAACTTAAGTACCAGTGTGGGCGTGGCGAGCGATAACTAATAAATTGTGTTTATCGAGAAATTACTCGTAAGGTAATTAGTCATGGCGAGGTGCGGAAATGGTTTTAAATATTACAAGAATCTAATGATCGCTATTGATTTTTTTCTCAGGATAATATTTAAAGCTAAGTGTAAGACTCTGGGTAAAAGGATATTGGATCGGACAGACGGAGATAATGCCGCGTTTCAGTTCTGAATGCCATTTTCCCCTAACCTTTTGCATTGACTTTATTGGCAAGGCGTAACCTTGATTTTATTCTTTATTTTTCTTCACTGCACGGGAACGGGATTTAAACGGATGATTTCAAAGTTTATCTCAGACCCGATGTCCAACATGTAGGTGTGGGTATTGGTAAAGAACTATTCAGAGACCTTTCGATATTGGAACGATGCACAAGAATGGTGGTATCAATTATTAAAACCATCAATGAGCTTAAAAAAACTGATGTA